CTTCAATCTAAAAGTTAGAAGTTCCCCCATGCGGCCCATATATGAATTAATTAATATTCTAAAAATTGCTACAATTTAGTATTGCTGGTGCCCTCATAAGTTAAGTAGCTGAACTATATGGAGAAATAGAAGGAAAAACTGTATGAAGTTATCCCGCGCTAAAAATCCGAAAAAGATCTTATGCGACTTATGCTCTCCTAATACAAATGTTGAAATTTACGAAAATTTTCAGTTTCGCGACCCATACGAGGTCCGATTAATATATAATTGAACATTTTCAATTTCAAAATTCGGTTGCTCAATTATTTTTTAATCGGACCTCTGATGCTGTCTTGTTTAAGTTTTCACCATCTCTCAATTATTGCTTTTAGAGTTGGGGCAGGCGATGGAACTTGTACGATGCAAAACATACATCATTTTAATTTTATAAAAACTAGGCATAAACTAGCCACGCTATTGGCTAAATTATGAAACTTTTGCCGCGAACAGTCGCAGAAGTCTAATGTAGTACCGTTTTCTGCGTCTGAAGCCTGAACAACGCATGGTTAATAATTCATTACCAGGCTATGGTGGTATCTGACGCGTGGATTTGTAGGAAATTTTATATGAGAATAATTAGTTTTTTGTTGGCAGCTATTGTCGATTTAGATGTTTTATTTAATAAAAACGTGTTTTTGTACCTAAAATATACTGTTTCATGTTACAGGAACATCAGAAAAGCTCTGGATGCCATGTCTTATGGAGCATTCGTCATATCAACTGTTTTTCAGGATGTAGCGGTATCTCGACGGAGAGTAAAAGTGCCTTTTTCCACGAGAAACGGAGACAGTGTGTTGGTGTTGATAGCGGAAGGATTTATGACAATGAATCAGTAAGTAGTAATATTAATTAAATATAATAGATGTGAAATTTCCATTGAACTTTTCCAAAAACTTCAACTTTTTAGACATTTGTGACATGTTTCAAACAGTAATATTCCAGATCCATCAGCACACAGCGATGCAGCACATATTTTAATTTGTTTTTAGAATCATGCAAGAAATAAAACAGTAGGGCAAAGGAGAAAACAATTTTTATTAAATACTCAATTTTTGAACATAGGAGATGTTTTCCTACTTTGCTGTGCTTTACTTGAAAATGTTACTATTATGTTTGCTTTTAAGTGTATTTTTATTTAACTTCATCTCCTTGTTTAATAGTGCAATTAATTCGTATTTCTTGTCCGTCTCTACAGATTAGCCAATAAATGAGAGAAAATGGGAGTTAATTGTAATGCTGGCTACTCAAACACCTCGTGACTACCATGGTATCGTTTTCCCTGGATTTGTTCCATGATTTGTTGTTAATATCTTGCAACATCATGCAGTTAATTTTCGACCGATGAATGAATGCAACTGCAAATTTTGGATCTCACTGAAACATGAATTGTACCGTTTTTTCCTGCATTTGGTTTACTTTTCACACCTGTAAACTGGAACGTTATATTCTGCAACTAATTAAGGTGAGAATGCATGACACAGTTAATATTAATTACTCGTTATTAATTGATTACCACCCTATCTGTTTCAGATCGACGATGGAGATGACAAGGAACACCCTGTAGTTAAAATACTTCTTTATCTTGCATGCTCTATCCATTAGAATTAATTATTTATTTTGCATGTTTTTTTTGTAGTTTATTTTATTTAAATTATTTTGTATTTTGCATGCTTATTTTAGTTTATTTTATTTGAATTATTTTTTGACTGTAGATTTTATTTTTGTAGTAGTAGTAGCAGTAAGTACTAACATGTTTTTTTTAGTAGACCAAGTAGTGTAACATGTCTCTTGCTTATGTCTTCGCTTAGCTTACTGCATATTCTTCCTAATTTGCTTCGCATTTACCCTACGTTTTCTACATGATTCAACGTTTCGTTATCGTGTTCTTTTCTCTTCTCACCCTTGTGGAACTAGGGAGGGCCTCCCCGAACGACTTCCCTTGGGCTTAGCTCATTAGTTGATCTTAAAAGTGTCTTATACACTTTTCGCGAGTCTACTCTAGCGTTACTTCCTTTCAGACAGGGTACAGTGGGTTATCTGGAATAGGAGCAATAGGCGACTGCCCAGCTTGCCTTGGCGAAATCTGTCCGATCTTCTCTACCAAACCTATTAGTATTTGCCGTTAGTCCTGTTAATTGCACTTTTGCTTTCAGATAATGAGGTATTCCTTAAGAAGAATGAA